TCTTGCCTAGAAAAAAAAATACAAGTTAAAATGGCTTTGCCATCTTCAATGCCTTGCTCTTCCAACAAAAGTAGGTACTGCCGGTCATAAAAATTCAGCTGAAAAAGCAATCAAGCGCTAGCTGATGAATAAATTGCATTCTTTCTTTTCGTTGCTTTATTCAATTTATTTTTGTTAGTTCCTACTAAACATGAGTTACACGTGAAGCATACAATTACAAAAATACATCAAAGATACATGAAAGCGAAATGGTATGGCAATTACAACTTAAGCCCAAATACATAAAAAAAAGCAACGAGCATGAAGCCGGCGTTTAGACGCTCAAGTTGCATGGAGCAGCAGCAGAAAGTAGCAGTAGGTCAGGGCAATGGTTACACAAGTCGGATTATGTGGCATCGTAAATCTTAGACACATACACAAGCGAATATACAAAAGATGCCAGTGAAAGCTGTTGCCACAATTGTGAATGAATGAATGTGGTTAAATAAAAGTAAGTCGACAAAAGAGCACTGCGCGTGAAGAAAGGGCGAGTGCGGCGCGAGGGCATGAAAAGGGAAAGTTCAGTTCAAATGGTTTAAATGGCAATAAGAATGACAAAGACAGTGTGGTATGGCAAGCCTTAAATTATGGCAAAACAATTTTCGTAAGCCACAAGCAGAGGTACAAGTATTTAGTAGAGCAGCGAGCAGGGGAAGCAGTTGTGAAAAGCGCAAAAAGTCGCATAAAGACGCAGCTGAAGAAGCTGGCAGCGGCAGAGGGGAAGGAGGAAATAATTTAGACTGCGGAGGGCGAAATAAGTTTGCGAATACAAAAATTCCTCAAACTTTACATTTGCGCCTCCGCGTATGGTTTCAATGACTTGGCGCTAATGCAGCATACATACGTGCCACATGTATGCTTGTATGTATGTATAGCAGTTGCCTACGCTTGTATGCTCGTACAATGAGAGCGAAAAGCGCATTTGTGAACGTCACATCCCCTGACACGGCATAAAGTGTGGCACAGAGAGAAAACAAAAGCCTTATCATCGTTTGATCAAATTAAAATAATTGCGCTTAAGCACCTGAAATTATGCTACAGTTGGTTGCTATTGTTGTTGTTGTTTTTGCTGCTATTGTTTTCTTTTTTTTCGTCTTCTTCTTAACTTCACACATTTGTTTTTCGCATGCGGGTGTGCTTGTCACTGCCGTGGTGCTTACAGTACTACAGGTACATACTTACATATCTATATAAAGACATACATATGTATGTACTTATACAGCTTTTCTATGAATACTGTCGCTGCCACTGACAGATGCGCAAATAAATGGAAACAAAGCAAAATAAGCATATTGAATGAGATAAGCGTGATAACAGCAGCCGCAGCATGTGTTTGCCCACTTATCTCGCATGTCATGGTGTTTGCACGCTTCTGGTTTTGAATTAAAATGTAAATATGTGAACATAAATATTTACTTGAAATATATTTTACGTGAATTTTAAGGAAATAATTCTGCATAATATGTATTAAGAGCGTAGTTATTTTTTAGTAGAGAACAGGTCTAAAACCACACTGATAAGGCCGAATCAGTTCGTTGACGGTGGGCTTCAGTCTTTCACACAATACACTCGATAAGACCTTGGAAACTATGCTTAGCAGGCTGATCCCGCAGTAGCTGGCGCGTATGGCGGGGTCGCCTTTCTTGTGGATTGGGCAGAACACACTTAAATTCCAGTCGTCGGGTATGCGTTCATCTGACCATAAGGATTCATGCATTCACCTTCTCAACTCCTAGCGACCGTACACGAACAGCTCGGCTGACAGGCCGTCAGCTCCAGCAGCTTTGTCGTTTTTCAGCCGCGTAATCGCTATTCGTACCTCGTCCTCGACTGCGGACTCGGGTTCGTTTTCTCCACTACCTTCAGCGTTGCTACCATTCAATAGGGTGGAAAACTGTTCCTTTCATACTTTAAGTATATTCTGAACATCGGTAACTAGGTCGCCATTGTTGTTCTTACAGGAGTTCGCCCCGGTCTTGAAACCTTCCGTAAGTCGCCTAACCCTCTGGTAAAACTTTCGGACGTTCTTCCTGTCGGCCAGCATCTCAAGCTCTACGCACCCACGTATTTCGGCCTCTCTCTTGCGGTAAATACGTCTCGCATCCTTCTTCAGCACCCTATAACGGTCCCACATGGCCCGCGTTGCTCCCAGTCGAAGCGTGGCCCTGCAAGCAGCATCTTTTTTCTCTGCAGCTTCTTGACACTCGTCATCGTACCAGTTGGTCTTTCGGGCTCGCTGACACGCGACTATTTCTTCGGTGGCGGTACTTAATGCGCGGGAAATGTGGCTCCACTTCTCGCGTATGTTTATGTAGGTTTGTTGAAGAGTGCTCTCAGAGAGTAGGTGTGTGAGTCGAGTGGCGAATAAATTGGCCGTCTATTGTGATTGCAGCATTTCGACAATAAGCTTTCCTTGCATTGTTGGGCGCACATATTTTGCTGGACAGAGGCGGGAGCGTATCTAGGCATCAACAAGATAGTTGTCCGAGTCGATATTTAGCAATCGGAATGTACGTACGTCTAAAACACTGGAAGCATGCCTTCCATCTAGAACAACACGATCGATTTGGTTTCTCGTTTTTCGATCCGGAGACAGCCACGTAGCTTGATAGATCTTCTTAAGCTGGAACCTTGCACTACATATTACCATATTCCGGGCCCGCCGAAGTCGATCAGCATCAGACCGTTATCGGACGTTTCATCGTGGATGCTGAATTTTCATATGTTCTCTGCCAGCACTCATAAAAGAGATCCTTGGACATCCCAACCTTCTTTGCCATGAGGGCATGGGCCCAGATGAGCAAGATTTTTAAGTATTTCGCTTTGATGCGGATTGTGGCTAGACGTTCGTCCACCGGGATGAACGCCAGTACTCGGCGACGAAGTCTCTCTTGCATTTGCGCTCTTTTACGCGGCAACTGTAGTAGACGTCGCAAAGGCTCCACGCTTACATTGCCTTGCCCCGTCCAACGCATTTCTTGGATGGCGGTGATGTCAGCTTTTTTCTTACGAGGACATCAACCAGCCGGGCTGAGTCACCTACCCCATTAAGGGTCCGGATACTCCAGGTGCATACCCTTAAATCACATTGCTTTCTACGTTCGTCGTGATCGTCATCAAAAAAAGGGGATCTCATCCGAGGCTTCTTGTTACTTTTCGTTGGGCGGGGTTTTAACGTAGCGGGACCCAAACCTAGCGCACGCGAAGTTTTACGCCTTCTCACTTTAGTTCGCCCACAAACGATTGTTTGGTCGCCTCCCAGAGGATACGTGGATATAAATATCCGAACGTTGCGAGCTGCGATTTTAATCTTACGCACAAGAGCCGCTTCTTGCCACTCCCAGGTGAATGGCAGTCAAAAGCTTATCCCATTTACATGGACCTATGCGCACAGAAACATCCCCCAAATATCTCCACTTGAGTCTAAATACCCCCTCCATTGGACCTTTGTCAGGCAATTAACCGGCGGTATACCTAATAAGCATATGTTAGTTTATTTGACATACTTAGAACAATCGTACTGCTGTCTATATTTTCTACAAATTACTGATTTTAGTTTTTAATCAATTCGTAAAATTGAACTTTGGATGAACGGTGCTCCTGGCTAATACAATATCAGGATACTGATTTGTTAAAAAATTGATATTTCTGTGACTCAGGAAGCCTTCTGTTATTTCTATTCTTCTATTATTTTTTTATTAAAATTTATAACTGTTACGTTCCGGCCCGGTCTGTTTGAATTTAACTTTTTAAACACGTGGCAACCCTCTTTCAACACCTCTAAAATATTCTTAGCGTTCAAACTAAAGATTTCTTAACACTCCTTCGTTTCACATTCATATTTTAATGTTTCATATAAACTAAATTCGACATTTCAAAAATAATACTTTTTGAAACCCCTTTCGTGTGTGACCCATATGGTGATACATATTTTTCTTACCTAATATAATTTTTTAAACAGGTGGCAACCCTTCTATAGTTCAACTAAGAAACAAATCTTTTCAAAACCATTTCGGTTGATACCGAGTTTGTAATAATTGATTTATTTTTTTTTAATAATTTTAATACACTTTTTTAAAACGTTGCAACTCTTTTCGAAAAAGTAAAACCTTATTGCACATACAGTCCAAGCCTTTTAATTTGACACCTCATTTTGGAAAATCGACCGAACGGTGCGGATATGATGGCATTAATTTGAATTTAATTGTTCAACAGCTGGCAACTCTTTTCCAAAAAATAAACATTTTCAGGCCAAGCGCTTTAATTTGACATCGCACTTTTGAAAATCGAGCGAACGGTGCATATCTTTTATGCTGAACAAAAAATGCCTTCGCGTATTATATATATAGATTATAATAAATTAATTAAGTAAGCTAGTCCAAAGTCTTGTGTCCTGGCTTTGATTTTTAATTTTGCACAAGGAAGTACTATGAACAAGAAACATTATTTCAAAGTCAGATAAGGAATTCTAATTTTCCTTTTTACTGATATTCTTTACCAAAAACAAGCGCATTCTAAAATCTACTTGAACTTTTTTAGTCTTTTGTTTACTTTCTCTACCCTTTCTATACTTTCTGTCATTTCTTATGTACATACATACCTTTGCAATTACAAATATTTACACTTATTTAAATTTCCATTTATCTTCTCTCCTATTCGCAGAGTGCAAAATCTTGACTCAATTGTACGTGTCGCAGACCGCGATCTACCGGTGGTCAATACCAGAGGCGACGTACTCTTCAACTCGTGGAAGGGCATCTTTAATGGTCAAGGTGGCTTCTTCTCACAAGCGCCGCGCATTTACAGTTTTAGCGGCAAAAATGTCCTAACGGATCCATTGTGGTAAGTATCCTATTACTGCTACGATTATTTATGTATGTACATAGTATGTGCGTGTGTACGCCTGCTAAGCCTACTTCGGCCACGTTTTTTTTTTGTTGTTTGTTTTGCCTGCTTCTGTACATTGTGTACACTTTAATCTTTCCATTCACGTTACATTGTGGTCGCACAGCACATCCATACAACAATGGAGTGTAAGCTGCTTGTTGAAAGAAAAAAAAGTAAAAAAAAAATGGAAAACAACAATAATTATATTATGTAAACACAAGGCGTGCTCGACTTTGCATTGAGCAAGTGCGATTACGGTGTTGTGTACGCGCCAGGTTACCGACGACACTATCTCGCCGTTAGCGTGTGCTCAGGTGGCAGATTGCCAGCTTAGCCACATTGAAGTTTCAATGTATGTATGTATGTGTGCGGCGCTCGACGTGTCTTAGCATAAATTTCTCTGCGCGAATGTCAGATTTTCTATTAAAATGCGGTCTAATGCAGAATTATGTGCGCTCTTAGTTTTGCTTAGATATCTAAATGCAGATAGTATGTAGATATAAAAATTTAAATAAAAAACATTTTGAGATTTTATGTACAAAGCAGCATTGCAATATTGTACAAGTTTTAATCTTGCTATAGCGAAAATTTACAGCTTATTAGTTTCGAACTAAATTGAAGGTATAAGATTACATTTTGAGTAGGAAAATCTAAATTATTTTGCACTGAAGTAGTTCAATCCTTTGCATGAACGCAAGAAATCTGAATTGTGGCCATAAAATCAAATCCATTGGAAATGTTATGAGTCCTATTATATAAGAGAACATAGTAACTGCGGTTAATTTTGAATTAATTAAACAAAAAATATGCGTGACAAAAAATATACAGGCTGTCCTGTGTGAACCACTTTGCAAGTTAGCTTTTTTCCGGGACAATGGGGGCCATCCCCTAATCCAAGAATCCAAGAAGCAGAACCAATCTTGCCAACAAGTGCTACTTAAAACTCTCGTCGTACAAAAACCACATTCTTAAGTCACACTCATCATGACTATGGTTTTATATGGCGCAGATCCATGAACAATCTGGAGATCCGAATAGGCGGCCATTGGATTAATCGAGAAAAGATTCTGCGTATTACTCACCAGTCTTTGAGTAGTAGCGGTGGCGTTTACTACACCCGATGGAACGTTCAGCTGTATGGGCTTTGAAAGAATTCGACGGTGGTAGCAAAAGAAGAGGAAAGCCTCCTCCGCGTTGCCAATACCAGGTCGAGAAGAACTAGGCTTCACTTGGCATTTCCAATTGATTTAATTGGTATAGAAGATCAATGCTTGGCATGCTTTATTGGACTTCGGTGGTTACAGGGCCAAAAACAGCAAAGAAGTGATCCCTGCGAGCTACTTCTGGTTTGTGGTCAATTTCTTCTTTTTCTAAGGCAATTGTGGGTCCACTCCTCATCCCATCGCATGTAAAGGTACTGGACCGGAAAGGTCTTTAAAAATAAAGTGATTCATTTTTTCTATCTTTGGAGTCACGATCTGCATTTACTATTTTATGAAGGTGACGTAATCTGAGGGGTTGCCCAAACCAAAAATTGTTTCCAGCGTTCTTTAGCTACTAGGGTATTGTCGTCTCTAAGAAACTGTTAAAAGATGACTATTAATATACCTATCATATGCTCTATTAGAAGGATTTTGTACATCGTACCTTTCTTAGACAATTCGTTGGCTTTGTAGTTGCCCTCAATATCCCAGTATTCGACACCCATAGTTCTACTTGAACTCTAGAATTCTGTGCAATCTTGTTAAAAGATATACGGCATTTGGTTAGGTACTTGGCAATGTCTATAAGGGAGTGTGAAGCTTACCGCGCTGCCTAAGTATCCGAGAAGATAAATATTTGTTTCTTTCCAGCAAGTCTTTAAGCATGGCACCACGCTGCCTCCTGGATTTTTTCTTGATATACATATGGACACTGCGTTGGTTAGGGTGCGAAAATATATCTCTTGCTAGAAATATATCTAGTTGTAAAGGGTCCTTCTGCCACTATTCCTTCAAGTTTGGAGCCACTTGTGTAAAAAATTTTGACATGAGGCAGCCCGAGAGAATTTCTATATCAATCAACAATAACAGGTACTCTTGTGTAACGATTTAGTCGCCGATATGCCTGGGCTGCCGAATGGTCTTTGGTTCTCTCGATGCTTGGGGTGTTAGATAACACATACGCCATGGTATGCGAGCAACTTAGGCAGACTTGGCTATTGGCGTGGCGTTTTTAAATAGGACTCTTGTAATAACACACTCAAATAATATATTAAAGATATCAAAAGTTACTCGCATGCCGTGGCGTATGAGTTATCAATGGTCATCAACATACATACATAAATGTACGCTAGGGTACATCCTCCCGCATTCAAAAAAATCGGTACTGGTGTTCTATCGGAAATATAAAATGGATTATATTCTAAATAAGACTCCCGTCAAAATATTTCAAGAAAATATTAACACCAAAATTGTCCATTCCGACAAACTTAAACGCTCTTTACTGCCTTTCGAAAGTCAAAGGAAGATCTGCTAACGAGGAGGTCTTAGCGTTATGCTTTTGGCATTTTGGCAGTAAGTTTATTAAAGATACAATAAAATTAAACAATTTTTTTTTTCTTTTTAAAACAATAAAAACTTGTATATAAAAGGAATTCGAATTAAAAAAAAAAATTAAATTAAAAAAGAAAATAAAGCAAAACTAAATAAAAATATTTTTTTTAATACAATTAACTTAAAAAAATTTGTGTTTTTTAACAACAAAGTCCAAAATTAAACGAACGTTAAATTATAAAAATAAAATTATTAAATAAAAATAGAAGAAAATACTAGCACTTAAAAATTTAATTTTATAAAAAAATATGCTTACTTTTAAAACATATAGAAAAATTATAAGAAATCAAAGTTAAAAAAGAACTAAATTAAATTATAAAAAAAAAACAAAAAGATATAAAAATGAAAAGCAAAATCCATATAACTTTCTTTTCAAAACAATAAAATCTAAAACCAAACAGAAAATTTGATTGAAAAAAAAATTTATAATTACTACGTTTCTAAAAATTTTATAAAATTAAAAAAAAAATAATAACTTATCTTCTCAACAATAAAATCTTAAAAAAAAATTAAATTAGTTTTTAAAAATTAAATTAAATCAAAAAATATATATATTTTTCTTTATAACACAATGATATCTAATAATTAAAAGAAAATTATATTAAAAAAATCAAAAAAAGTATAGTACAAAAAAATATGCGCTGCGCACGGTTTAGAGCCCGCAGCTCTAGATTAACAAAAGCCTTTCGAAATACATTTTCATTTGTCTTTCGAAAGACTTTTCACTATCTTAGCCAGAATGGCCCTGTAAGATTTATGTGAGCTGGATGTATTTTAAAATACTTCCAAAACTCGGGTTTTTTTAAATTGAATTATATTTTACAAATAAGTGATCTCTCAGTTATTGATAGCAAAATTAGAAGGCGTTTCCGTGCTTATACCTTTACAATAGGTATGAAGGCTTTGACTTATGAATGAAATAAAGAAATAAACAAGTAATTTTTAAGCAAAAAACAAAACCGACTTCAAATCTCATATAAAAATCTAGGAGTACCGTTAATTTTTTCATGATCCAATGATCGGATCTAAATTAGATTAATATGGGACCACCTCTGAGACACTACCTTTATGTTTCAAAAAAGAAAAATCGTGACGTGGTCCAAAGTTATGCGGTAACATACATAAAAAAAAAATATATATATATATATTCCGACGAACTGATAACCTCCTCCGTTTTTGGAAGTCGGTTAAAAATAGAGTGGGCAGGTTGTTATAGAGTCTAATGTGGGTAAAATTCTCTGAAGAGTTTTTAATAGAATTAATATAAGGTATAATATGAGAGACTCTACCTGGTTTAAATATCCTTTAACTCCTCCCTAGCATTGCGGTATAAAATTTATTTTTATTTTTTTATTTTGCCTTTTTTCGTTTCCAGCATTGTTGTTAGTTCTTTTCATTTTGCATAGCAATTAAGTAGAAGATTTAGTATGATTTTTTCTTACTACTTTAAGCCTGTCGTTCAATTCAATCAACCAGGCGAAATATGACTACGTAACAGTCTCAGCCTGTTGAATAGACATAAAAATTGCTTTTTCAAAAATCTAATCTTTATTTTCACTTTCCACAACAGAACAAATATTTAAGCACGTATGTACATAAACTGCAGAATGGAATTATTTTATTAATTTATTTTACAATCACGAAGGAGAAATAAATAACAAGCCTAAAACAGACTCAAATAATTACTCTGCACAAGCTATGCAACAAATTGAAGTTAAGTGATTACAAAATGTAATTGTTTTATATCTGCAACAGAAGCCACCAAACCACAAGATGGCACGAGATGTATTTATATGTACATAGATACCACATCAGACACGTTACTACTTACAAATTGTGATATTTCGTATATGTCCGTATGTTTGTAGTTGTGTGTGTGAGTAAATGTAAATACTTGTATAACACCGGCGACAGAGTTAAGCTTATAAAATGTTGTGGTATTCAGTTATTGCCAGGCAACACTTAATCCCTGAGCGGCATGCTGTTATAGCAAATATCTAAGCACTTAGAGATAAAAAAAACATATGTATAGTACATCGTACATATATGTACGTAGGCACGTTTTAGGTGTCTATGTAATTGAAGCATCAATTTGAAAGCGTGCAGATTTTAAGATTTCTGCACAGAAGTTGCTTTGTGCTTTCCACAAGTGCGTTTGTGCTGCTAACTTGCACACATGCATACGTAGATATGTATGTATATGCTTGTACATGCATAAGGCTATGTCACTATGCATTTGTTCTTAACTGCATACGTACATTCTAGCCAGCCACTACTTCTCATCTGAATATGTATTTACTTGACTACTGGCAAACAAATATGTCAAGGCTGGAAAACACTCAGGCGCAATTACTTGCAATG